ACAGCAATCACACTTTGACGTTTTGTTTGGTATTTTTCTACGTCCATTTTTTTTTTTTTTTTTTTTTTTTGTTTTCCATAATAATTTTCAAAGTGTTTGCATCACTTACATGATCAGGAATCTCATACTAACGATAGTATTAATTTCTCCATCACGGCAGAACACATGTACTTCAAAATCAGGTTCAATTATAACAGATTGAGTGATTTTTGGATATGGAGACTTGATGATGCAACATATAAGAAGAGTCTCTTTCTACCTCACTATATTCCAGTAATTTCTATCAAGAAAATTTAATTTTCTCTCTCTCTCTATGTTCTTAATGCCGAGGAATTTCTTCTGCTGTTTGTATTCCAATACTTTAATCTGAAGCTCTATGAAGAGCAGAATTCTTTAGTTGAATTTTTCCAAGACTGATGACTCTCTAGACGGGATTAGGGAACATAAATGTGAAGGATAGTTTGGTAAAATTCTAGGGATTTGCACCTACATGAAGAATTGGTTTCTTAAGGCTCACACTAACAATTGTGGTACCTGTTTTCTTATTGAATGCTTCATTGATGTTGTCAGCTAAGCCAACAACAAGATCACCTTTATAGTCAAAATAAGGCTCTAGGTGAATTTCATCTACAAGTAAAAATACTGTAATGTCTTTTTGCTCTGGTAACTTAAACTTATTTTTAATATACGTAAGAAAAATTTTGTTGCTTAGCTATACATTTCATATAGGCTGATAAGGTTAGTCTTCTGATGGCTGAATAACTAAGTGAAATTATATTTTTGTGTCTCTTGACCTTGAGTGGAACAGTTTTACAACAATGAAGACAAAATAATTTCTGCTGTATAATCAAACTTACTCTGTTTCATTAATTTAAACTGCTCATAAATAAACTTAACTGCATGAAAATGTCTGAACTAATACCAGAAAGGTCATTGCCAAATATAATACAGCAATCACACTTTGAGGTTTGGTTTGACAGTCTTCTATGTCCATTTTTGTCATGTTTTCAATAATTTTCAAAGTATTTGTATCACTTACATGATTAGGAATCTCATACTCCCTCCCCTATAATATTAATTTCCACATCACCACAGAACATATTTACTGCAAAATCATTTTCAATTATAACAGATTGAGTGATTTTTGGATATGGAGACTTGATGTTGCGACATATAAAAAGAGTCTCTTGCTGCCTCACTATATATTACAGTAATTTCTATTGAGAAAATTCAACTCATTCAGTAACTAATTTATTCTATACTGAATAGGTTATTTTACTAGAAAACTGTCGAACAATCACGTGGTCAAGATAAACACTCAGTTGTGGAGCAAGCTGAGTGAAGAATGATTCAACATTGAGGAAGAGAGTTGTTTATTATGGGCATCTATTATGCTAAAGTGGGATAGTCCATTGGGGCTGTGATTGGCTGCTGGTACCTGAGTGGAAGTATTTTCTAAAAATACAATGTTAGTTTGCAGGGTTTGTATTTTCAACCTGCTTGTAAATGTTTTCCCTTCTTTGATATCTTGTGTGTACTTTTTAATTTAGGAAGATATTCTTCAAATCTTTTTACAGTTATATAAAGAAAAATCCCTGACAATGTTATTTCAGTAAAAACAAAATTATGAAAACATCAAATGTGAACATACAGGAAATCTATGTCGGTGGTTCTCTTCAGGCAGACAGTCACGTGATATCAGGCAATATGGTCGTCTCTCATCTCAGCGTCTGCAATAACTGCTGTCGTTTCGATCCCTTGCATTTACTGACATTCGCCTAAAACCGGCCTGGGGGGGCATGACACAGGAGATTTGGTGTTTCCCCTATCTTCCAACAAGAGCCCTTTTGTTGTCAGGCAAATTAATTACATTTCCAAATTGGAGAGATCTTCTTTTCCTATAAATAGCGGTTACAGGTATTGATCCACCCCAATACCTTCTTCCACTTATTGGCATCTCACACCAACACTTCCCAATGGGCATGGGCAATTCTTCCACCTTCCTTTTGTATTTCACTTGCACCTGCCACTTTGGCTATTCCTTGGTCAATCTAGCTTCCGCCTGTTTGACTTGGCTTAATTTACGTTCATTAATTAAAAATTATCATTTCAAATTTTGCTTACGCAAAATTTTCTGGCCCTGTCCACAATCAGACATTCACCAGATGTTTGTATCTCAGGCAGCTATCCTCCCAAGCCTGGCCAGGGCCACTGCACTCAAGCACAAAGACACTCTATTCTCAAGATTCAGTTATTGGTCACATCTTATCCATCTTAAATAGTGTTTTCATAACCAATGCTTTTGGAGTTGGGTCATTAATCATCTGTCAGCTTAAGCAATTTTTCTGGTTTTAGAGAATTAAGCTTTTTTTTCTCTTCTGGAAAAGAGAAATCTTCATTCTTTCTCTCAGTCTGTCTATCATTCTATTTGTTAACCCTTTTCACCCTGATCCTAGCTATGTTTTTGATTTAACCCCTTTCTTTCAATTTACCAGTGCCAAATATTGTCACATTAAAATAAAAATTATAGAAATTTATTAAACTTAAAAGTATCCTTTAATTAAAAGAAATTATTTCTCATTTTAGAAATAAAATTATTCATTCTAAATTGCATAAAATCATCATATCATACTTATTATAAAACCCAGGTTGTGTGTGTGTGTCTGTTCGTTTATATATTGGATCGGATTTCCTACATTTTTCAACCGATTTCAACAAAACTTCACAGGACTACATAAAATTACCTTGCGGTGGTTCTGACAGCACCATAAATTGGAAAAAAATAATTGTTTTTGCATGAAATCAATTTGAAAACATGATTAAAAGGCATTGCTGTCACGAGAATTAAAGGAGGACAACTCATATCGAGTTATACTTATTATAAAACCCAGGTTGTTTGTGTGTGTGTTCGTTTATATATATGGGATCGAATTTCCTACATTTTTCAACCGATTTCAACAAAACTTCACTTTTTTTTTGGCAGGTAGTGTTTCTTATTGTCTTGCACACTTTTTTCTTTATTTTTACATTCAGAATGCTTTAAAAATTCCATTTACAAGACAATTGTTTATAATAAAATTCTATTCAATCAGTAGACTCATAACGATTGAAAACAATGTTTTTGTTTGAGTTTGGGTTTGACCAATACAAAAAAATAATAATTAAGACATGCGTGTCCGTCAACCTTAAACAATAATCTTTGTTAATTTTATTTTTCAGTCTTTATGATAGTCAATACTTGATCTATCTCTTACTGTTACATCCCCGGGCAACGCCGGGCTCTACTGCTAGTCTCTATATAAATCTATGTCAGTTTATTTGTACATCTATTATAAATTTATTTTAAAACTTTCCCTTCTAAGGACTATATTCTCAGTCAATGCACAAAACCCCTTTTCAGGGCTACTTACTTTGAATTGTTACTTTTTTGTAACTGATTTGCCTGTTATTATGTAAGTCATTTTACGATTTTGCTATTTATAACTTATTGCTATTTCCTCGAGAAATCCTAGGGGTGGTGGTTGGGTATTCTCTGTGATGCTTACTTTGAATTGTTACTTTCGGATAATCAAAGAAATAACATGAAAACAGAAACTGGGGATAACATCTGCTTTTCCATGAATTACCGAGTACGTCTGCTTGTACTAGATTAAAAATGTTGTAGTAATCTGAAAGAAAAATGTTTATAGTTTATTCATTTTTGTATTTTTTTCTCTTCTATCAAAGAACATTCTCAACATTTTGACAAAAATGACATTGTTTCGGATAAGAAGCTCAAAGAATAATCAGAGGGTATTTTTGCTAAAATAGAGATGAATACAATTCCCAAGACATAAATAAATAAATACAATTTTTTATCATTAAAATCTTTGTGCTATTATTAAGATTGGCATCACGTTTTCTATGGAGGTACCTAAGCTGGGTAACCTAACTAAAAACCTAAGATTTAAAATGAATTTTTAAAAATGAAAAATATTTCTTGAAGATTTTATTTTAGTTTTAATTTCAAGCAAATACATGAAATTTATTTTTTCTAATAAGCAAATACATTGCTGCATTTCAAAATTAATTTCACTGGAAATTTTTTTTTTTTTTTATCCATTTGTCATTGCAATTTTCTTTATTAAAAAATCTTCTAAAACTTTATTTAAAGAATATTAGCTGATTTTAAGTATAATTAATTTGGTTGCAAACAAATACTATTTACATTAAAATATCACAGAAATTCATTTTTAACCTGAGAGGAGCTGTGCTTTTAACCCGACAGTAGTTGTTTTGACGTGTTCAAGGCCTAATGTTGTTCATTGGAAACATTATCTGTAAAATGTAATTGAAGGAAATGATGTGAGCACCTTTTCTATATAATTTTTAAGTATTCATTAATGTTAAAAATATATGAAACTATTCACCATAATCTAATGATTTATTGAATTTTTGGTGCTTTGGCTTTAAATTTACTACAGTTACTGCTTTTATTTTATGAAAATTTTGTGTATGGATGCCTATATTTACAGAAATTGGTTCGTTTATACACACACAAAAAATTCAAACCTTTAAAAATTTTGAAATACAGGTGTCACAGTATTGTAGTAAGCTTTCTCCATTTATGATTTTGCAAATCACTTTCCCAGCGGTCTATCTTTGTAACTGTTCTGTATTGCATACATTTTAAATCTGTACATTTACTTAATGGTTTTCAGCCTTTTTATTCTCTCGTATTGCTGAAATAAATTGAAGTGATAATGATAAAGAAAGTACCCGTGACTTATACGCTTTTATACATTTGTCACTTAACTATATTTATATATGATGTAAGTTATGAAGAACTTGGTAATCCGTATGGGTAATCCCAAGGAGGATGAAATCCTGAGAACTCAATGTAAATCCAGAGCTAATATTTAAAAGAAAAACAGACCACTTTAAGTATATCTTTTGTCATTTACAGTTGTTGAACAAATTCAATTTGAAAAATTTAACATAATATTTTATTAGAAAAAAGTTTAAATTATTTCTCCTTCTGTTTGCTCGTGTAGTTTTTGCCTTTTTCGTCGGCCACCTTCTCGGTCTACAGCCCCCTTGAGGAAACGGGAGACGGCACCTTGAACTTCATAATCTGTGGCCTGTGTAACTGTATTTTTCTGAATTGCTCCTGGAACAAAAATACAATTAAAGTTAAAAAAAATAGAAAAAATAAACCGATCTTTCATAATTCTTTTTAAAAAAAAGCATATCAATATATTCCGGATTAATTAATGCCTAATGGTTTCATCATAATTTCTATATTGAAATAGTTTTTTTTAAATATTTTTTATAGTGCAATAATTTTGCTCTTACTCATAGCTGAAGTGACATAGGGAATAATGCTTTCCCCAAGGCATTTACGCAAAATGAAATGGACAAAACCAGAATTTTAACTCATTTTGCTAAGTGCATTTTCCAAGTCAATATCATTTAAGCCAGGAGTCAGCAACCCTTGGCATGCATACCAAACATGGCACATGAAACTTATTAGATCTCTTTTATTCATATCATTATCTCATGTATTTTTATTGTCTTCCTTTTACAGATTGTGCAAAATGTCACAATCATCAGCTAAGAAACAATGTCATTCAAATGAAGAAGATATTAAAGAATACTAGACTGAAAAATGTGGTATGATTAATAAAGAAAATAAAGCCTTATGCATTTTTTTTTCCCTGAAACAATCGTTTGTAGGACTTCTTCTGAGAAGGGACAGTTTGAAAGTGTTCATAAGAACTTAAACAATAATGAATGAATTTCTTGTAAACCGGGCAAGACAAAAAACAGACAGATACTTTTATGAACTTTATTTCAGGTAGGCCCAGTTTCAACTTAGTTGCTGCTAGATTTGAGGTTTTAAAAATTTTTGTTGGCGCGTGGAAAAATTTGGTGTCAGTGATTTGGCCGGTTTTGGCACACACTTTTAAAAAGTTTGCCCAACCCCTGATTAAAGCCACAACGTAAGAAAGCCGTCATGTATTGTTCTTTACCATATAATTTTAATAATCATTCTTTGAATTATGATAAAGATTTAGAAATACAGTTTTTTAATCCCCATTACTTTGTTGCTAATAATTCATGCAACTCAAAACTAATTATTCACAAATGTTCAAATTAATATATGGAATTATAGAGAGAATTCCAAAACTCTTATGGAACACAACAACCTGTCTAATGCAGTTTAACTGCATTTGACCACACAGTACATAAACACATCATTTTAGAAAATTCTGTTCCAGGGAGGTTTAATTATCAGCTGACAAAACTAGCAGACTGAATTGATGAAAATAGAAAACTGTAATTCTATCCAAATCCCATATACACCCAAGGTATTCTTTTTACTATGGAACAACCAAATTATCACTTACTCTGTAATATTATTTTTATTTTCAGCTTCTGGAATGCTACCTTGCCACCTTGTCCAGTCCAATTCATCTCTTTCATAAGAGAGTTTGTTATGAGGCCACTGAGCATCCTTCTAACACAATCAGGAATATTGTGACCTCCACGAGAAGCCAGAGAATTTATCTGGAAAGAAAAAAAAAAAAATGTATGTCTTATTTTTGCCAGTGCACCATTTAGTAAGCCTACAATTAAGAACAATCTCAAACATTTTTCCTACATAGTGTTCTGCATTTTATTATTCCTAAAATAAATTAATTTATCCATCAGTGTAACATGAAATTTCTCTTTCAAATAATTAGGTCAGCTTTGTTAATTTTGGATCATTTCTGACCATTCCTCATATTTCATACATAAACACATCAAACCAGTTCAGCTACTTTTCAGATCACTATTCCATAGTTTATGAACTGAATGTTTTTCTGTTAAAAAGTAAAAGGGACCAGAGAAAGTCAATATCTAATCAAAAAGAGATTTACGGTAAATTTCTACAACAACAAAAATTATCAATGTTATTTAATTGATAATAAAGTGAGATGGTAAACAATCAGTTTATTTGTTATAATTTTATCATTTTAACATTCCACCATGCTGTTTTCTTAAAATGTAGTCACATTAGCTCAATTTTCAAGTTTTCAAAAGTAAATCTATTCAATAAGAATTCCAGGTAGATATGTAGTTGCACCTCTATCTACTATTTGGATCTCTCTACTTCTTGCCTTGTGTTAAGTTTGGTACCTCCACGAGATCGTTAAAAAATGAGCATAGCATGATGAAAAAGATGCCAAACTTGATGAAAACAAAATTTTATCGTCTAAATGTTTATGTTATTATTAAAAGGAAAGATCAAAGTATTTTGGGGGTATTTTTTTTTACATTTTTTAATCGTTCCTAGCACGTCCGAAATTTTCGTTAAAAATCTTGTTTTTGAGTCAGCAAATTTACAATTTATTTTACTAGTTCTGGTGATTAAAGTTTTTTTAATCAAAATTTAGAATGTTCTAAAAAGAAGGAAAAATTTTTTAAAATAATTTAAAAAAAGTTTGGTCTTTCCTCTTAATAATAATATAAGCATTTAGACGATAAAATTTTGTTTTTGGAAAGGTTGGCGTCTTTTTCATCAAAGGAGGTACCTATGTTAAGTGAAACACATTCTATGTAAAGCTCTAATTAATGTTGTCTGTAATAGTTTTATTCATTACATCATAATTACATTTCCAACATTTTAAAATTGATTAATGTTTTCAATATTTGAAAGTAAAATAAAAACAGCTTAAAACAAATGGATTAAACCTACCAGATATTTTTGAAATTCTGGCTTTTCTCCTAAAGCCTCTTCAAGCTGATCTAGTTCTTTTTTATTGCCTACAGGAATTGTAAGGCCATCAGGAACAGCATAATCTATATCTAGATTATCAGCCTGCTGGCTCTGTAACACTTTGGTCATTTGAACCTGCAACTCTCTAATTGATAATTTTATATCAGTTAATAATTGAAGCATCAACTCCTGTGTAGCTGTAATAGAAATAGAAAAAAAAAATAAGGTGAGAAGAAAAGTAGATATGTGCATATGAATTGCACTCCATATTTGAAACAAATGTCAGAATTTTTATCTATATCCCAAAACTGTGGCAAAATGTTACCCATTTTATAAATGGACTAGCAGCATGGCCTGGCGTTGCCCGTGCTTGATTCAAAAATAGTACGACTAATACAGTAATCGCTATCACTTGACTTAAAATATTTTTGCCCTTCCTTGCCTTTAGAGGAGTGCCCATTGCCGTGCTGATGTTGTTACATGCCTTACTTCTTGCCTATCTCACACTGCCAACTTTTTCTAAGCTCTATAGTAAACATTAAATCTGTTACGAAAAAAGAACTAAACAAAATAAACACAATACAATACAGCTTTAAAAAAACGGAAAAAACATTTTTAAGGGTCGATTTGCACTCTGTTTGGGGGGCACTCAGAGTTGAAACTTCACATGATGACTCCCAATGGCTTCTTCATAAATCTGCTCGGTTTTCGCTAAAAACTGACATGCGGTTCAGACGCAATCTGGGCGTATCGGTTTTTGGGTTTTATCGATTTTCCACGCTGTTTAGGGGTCCGTGGTCATGAAACTTCTGGACAACATTTCTAATGGTAGTCTCTAAGAGGGTGTCAAATTTGGTTGAAATGCGATCATTCCTTCTGTGAGCAGAATTTTTTCGATTATCGATTTTTTTTCGGAACCTGATTCCAAACTCAAAAATCGGGCTCCGTCATGTCCTTACGGCAGCCATTTGCAAACTTGTGTTAAAAACATTGAAATCGGGTGAGAAATGCAGCCTGGGCAAGGTAACAACGCCCACGACAGACAGACAACATGAGAAATATAGATAGTAGATATTATTCATAAATTTTATGTCATACCGATAATTCTGGATGCAAGTCTGACAGATGTAGTCAGGTATCAGTATTAAGAACTGATATGGGAAAAAGTTTGATAGTTGAAATTTAAATCCATAAATATAAAGGTCTGCCTTCCCTGGGAAATTTATTAGTTGTGATTTCAATTCCCAATTTCTCTGCTGTGTGGACTTTCTGGAAAGCTACTTCCCAACTACCTCCAGTAATAAAGACCAGTCCAGTGACAGACTAGAGTCCTCTCACAGAGGTTGTATCAATCACCTGTTCAATTAATGCTATGGAAACTAGATGTTCAGGCTCTACAATCAACTATCTTCTTACCTATAACACACAGAATTTTAGCAAATGTTTTTATTTAAATAATTTTCTATTTTACATTATTACTGAAATTAATTAAAATTTACTAATACATATCTTTATATGTAATCCATAAATAGAAAAGAATGTTGCAATTTTTCATTCAAATTTGAAAGTGTAAGGTAAATACCAGAGACATGCTCCCTGGATCTGTTTCTGGGTGGTATTGGATTCTCATCTCTAAACGAAGGACCTGGCTGTGCAAATTGTAGGGGTAATATTTCCTCTCTTTGGACACAATCATCTCGATATAATAATGAATCCATCAGAGATGCTATTGTTGGTGGAAGTGGTTTCTTGGTTTGAATTTGGTAATCATCATCATCATCATCATCATCATCATCATCATCATCTGTTTCATGTGAATACCTGACATTTTTTCTGAAAATAAAGTATTTTACAAAGTTTTAAAAAATTGTGGCTGTATGAAATTTTTCCTTCAATAAATTTCAAAATTGTTCGGAGTGGAGGTCCAAGCATTTAAATCAGGTATAGGGTATAGCATACCAAAGCTAATGTAATACAAAGTCGGATTGATAATGTTCTTAGACCCCATTAAGCTGGATATTGGATAAGATTGAAACTTGAGTTTAGAGAGACTAAGCAATCATGTTTAGCCTTTGAAATTTAAATCTAGATTTATTAAATGACATTAATGCTTGATCCATTCCTAGTCAAACAGGAATGATATTAAAATGATTTTTCAATTAATAAATGCAGATTAAACAGTAAATTTTGACATGTCAGTAGAAGAGAAAGGAAAATCTGTGATTTGTATGAATTATTTAAATCCTTCCAAAGAACGGAAGTCAAATTTTAAATCACAAAATCTGTTCTTGAAATTTACCTTCTCTTTCTTTTCTTCTGAGAATTTTCTTCTTCTTTTTGAAGATCTGATATTTCTTCAGCCTTCTCCAAAAATTCCTGGGCCCTTTCGTATGTATCTGAAAAAATGTGATGATACAGAACTGATTTAAAATATGTTATGTTTAGCAGTATATACTTCTTTGAAAATACGTGCAGGGCTGCTGTCAGGGACAACAGGCAGAAGAAGAAATATTGACTTTTAGCTGCAACTACTGTGAGCATGCCTGCCTCGCATTGGACTTATCAGCCACAAATCAGCCTGCAAGCAATATGTACAGACTCCTTCATGGTCTTTGTTTTGCAAAGCCAAGCCATGATATATGATGACATATATTTTAACAATAAAAAAATTTGATCCAGATTTCAACTGTAAATTTATATTTATTCTCAGTGACTATCTTTTTCATTCAGATATTTTTCCACAATATAAAGTCATACAATTCTTTATCTAAATAAAAACATATTGGAGTCTACTGAGAAAAAAAAAAAAAAAAGGTCATAATATAAAATAAATGTTACCTTTGGATCCTAAACAGCGGATTTTTAATCTTGTCCAAGACTCCTCTGGTTTCTCCAAGATCCTTATTGCTTTCCTAATTCTGGCATCTGTGGCAAAAGGAGGCCAATATGATTCTGTTTCCCCTATACACCATGAACGGGGAACAATTCCTATTGAATTGCCTTCCTCAGGGAAGCAGACAATCAAAAATTTTTTCATCTCCATCCTGCAAAACTAAAATAATATTTGCAAAATTATAAACTTCAAGTCTTTGACATGACATCATTTTTTTTTTTTTTTAAATTAATTAAAAGTTTACTACTGGGTTACTAGAATGAATTCAGTCATGAAATTTAGTAGCCTACTAGAAGGAAGCCCTTTACCCTGGTGTTGGTATGGTTTGGTTTGTTTTACAGCATATCAACCTCAATGCCAACAAGATTTTTATTGCTGGTAATATTTTCCTTTCAAAATGTATTTATTGTATAAGAGTAAGTGTTGTTGCCGACATTGTGGTTTGAAACTAGATTGCCAGTGAGCAACACGGGCAATTCTATTATTAAGTAGATCACATGATCATAAAGGAAGTGAATAAACAGGAAGTAGCATGATGACTGTATGACACTGTTCACTTTTCTTGTCTATCCACTATTGCTATATGCTCACTCTCTCTACTCTATAGATTATTATACTATTTGTTGATTACTACTTTGAACAAGTGTTACTAGTGTGGATATTATTGGAAGGCATTACTACTAGTACCGGTGTCTGTGAAGTCTTGGATATAACAAGTATTTTTGGAAGTGATAATGAGTTTTCGCTTGACATAGCAAAAGTGACAAGCAAAGCTGTCCAACATTACAAAAATATGGCTGGTAATTTTTTTTTTTTTTTTAAACCGTACTGCTAGTAATAATTTTTTTCCTTCAAAAACATATTGGTATTTTTTTACCAAAAATCTGTTGCTGTAATAATTTTCCCAAAAATGTATTAAAACCTATTTTTACACTTTCATTGTGTTTTGACCCCAGTTTAGGAGTTAACTATTTGCCCATAGCTGGGACCCTAACAGGTGCTACCCACCACAGGTCAGGATGGATCTGGGAACACCAGCAATTAAGAGGTGATTCTACACTCCTCAAAATCTCCTGATCAGGGATGTAGTTTATCATCTTACCCAGGACATAGGTGGATGGTATGATTCCAACTGACCCATTACTTTTCTTGCTATGACCAAAAAAACCTTTAATATGAGAAGATTCAAAAAGTTTGAAGGTATGAAAACTCATCCTCCTTTTAGTAAATAAACCAGTTCCCTTTTTATGCATTAATTTTATGGTTAATGTTTTCAGAATTCATTAAAAATAAAAATTACGAAAGTTAAGCCATTTTTTAAAATCTCAGAACTAAAACTGTGCAGAGTTTATAATTTATGCAAAATATTTTGGAAATCTTTAATTTAATTTTAATATTTTAATTTTGTACAGTCATTGTATTAGATTTCAGTTTCTTGTACAAAATATATATTACATGCCCACATTGAGGTATCTATTTTTTTTTTTTGTTTTGGTCAAATTAAAAATATCTATTCTCATCAGGTCAACCACTTTCTATATATGTTCGTAAAATACATCTATCAGATGCTTTGGTACACATCATCAATGAGGTTTCTCACCGAAGTTCATTAGGGGTTTCAGGTCTTTCAACATCATACCCCTTCTCCACGGTGACCCAGCAGATACTGATCGGGTATCCACTTGTGTACCTTCCATTAGCTACAGTTTTTCCAATCTGCAGACTACGACTCTCAGATATGTCATTATTGAGGAATTTTGAACAACTGGAATTTTTTTTTTTTTTTTTTTTTCGTGCAACGTTTATAACATCAAATGCAACATATACAAAAGAAGTTTATAAATTTGTGTTATATCAATGGAATTCTGATTATCTGACCTCTGATGGGAAATCCTGAATTTCAATGTGGTCACTTTCTAGTAATGCTCCTTAGTTATTCAAAAATTTACCAACTAGGTTACCTATCAAATATTCTGACGATAAAGATCTACTTTCCTTTCCCTCTAATAAAAAATTTGCATGATGGATTACTAAACTATTTTATATCTAAATTTAGTCTTCTAATTAGAATATATTTTTGACCTTCTTTATTTCATCCTGCTGTTATAAAATAAAATAAGACATATCTCGGCTGATTTACAGGCAAATACTCAAGAGCGAGAGCCAGATGTGAACGGGACAAAGCCCCATCACAAAATGACCATTATCTTTCTTTACAAATGTTCCCGACACACGTGTTCCGGTCGAAAAATAAAATAATATTTAAAGTGCTCTATTTTTTGTCCAATAAAAATGCTTCCCTCCTAATTATAGTCGCTTCGTTTTTCGAGCCTGTTAAGCCATAAAAAATGCTATAAAAGGGGTTATAGGGAAGTTCAACAGGCAGTCCACAGGTGCCCAGGATAGAGACCTGTCACGTTCAGCTGCTGACAGCAGGGGAGCGTCAACCACTGTCAACATGTGTGAACTACTATGAGAGATTGACCTAGATCCGAAGCCGGCTTATGAACTTTACCACAAGGTAGCTGTCCCAAATCCACGCGTTCCTGTTGAAATAAACCACGTAAATCTATTTCTGCTGTTGTCGTATTTCTTTCTTGCAACCATACGCTTGTCTATAACACTGCTTATTTTCCTTGGCACTCATTATTTGCTATTACATATCTAGAAGAGGCAACCTCTTTGAAATTTCTGCTTGCTGACCACACTTGTCCATGGTTATGGATTGGATGATGTAGAACATGCTTCTTCTTGGTCACTGAGAGAATATGATTGTTCAATAGACTGGACGTACCTATCAACTTGTCTAAGAATTTTTCTTCTCTTTGTCCTGTAGTTTATTTTTTTTACCTGTAAAAAGATCTTGTATTTTGACTAAAATGAATGTGTCCAGAAGAATTTTAAATATCAGTTCAAGTTCCAATGTGGAAGTTGGATTCAGGATAAACTTATGAAATCATTTACATATCACAGCAATTAGCAATTAAAGAAATGAATGTTGAAATAAAAAGATAAGCTCATCCACCTGCAATATTTGTTTATCAAATTTAATTTGTTTCATTTTTTTAAAAAACTTCATATTACTATTATGTAAGCACTCAATTTTCTGATTATTTCTACAAATTATAGAAATTAGTATTTACATGTTGGGGGTATTTTCCTATGTAAATTTATCATAAAAAATCATTGACTTTGGAACTAGAATAAAAAAAAAAATCATAATCTCCATAAAATAAAGAAAAAGCATGTAAAAAAAAAAAGTAATAAAAATAATCATTTCCACATATTTAAAGTAGTTGGTTTGATATAGACTTTTATTTTCGTGTGTTTTATATTGAAGAAGTGGTGTTGTTTTTCTTACTGATATATTTTAGAACCTTGTTTATTCAAAGTAAGCCAACTAATGCTTTATTTAAAACATAAAAAATGTTTTTCAAAAAAGGACCTTTTTTTCATCACTATATCAGAAACACACAAGAAATCTTTTATCCTTAAATAAGAAAGCAAATCAAACAAGGTCATTAAAACAGAACTTGGCCAAAAACTGATCCATGAATGATGAAATGTCATCAGCATTCTGGATCATAACACTTGGAAACCTTTGAAATAAGGAAAAACATTGAGAAAAGATTTGATTCTGTTTTTCACGGATAATTTTTTCAGAAATAATCTGAGTGAATTATTTTAATAAAATTCAACTCTTTATAAACCTGTAGTAAAAATAATTCTCTTTTCAAAAATAAGTAATACCAAAGAAATTACATCAGAAACACACAGACAGAGAAAATTTGTGGGGGTGGAGGCTTAAAATGTGTGTGTGGGGAAAAACGGGGTAAGAATTGAATCTATATTACCAAAATAAAAACAGATAAAACTGAACAAAAACTTGCCAAATTTTTTTTCTCTATTTTTTGGTGTGTGTTTCTGAAAAATGAATTCTGTTGCTGACATTTTTTGTTATTAAACTAATATAAAATAGCAATGGTTTTGTTTTAAAAACACTTTTCAATTAATTCTTAACCCACAAACAAAGCATAAAAAAAATGACTTACAATTAACAAACCAAAAAATATGTTGATGTCAAGTCAATAGCAATGGTTTTGCTTTAAAAACACTCTTCAATTAAGTTAATTAACTTAACCCACAAAAAATGTCAAAAAAAGTACTTAAACCAAAAAGTGTGTACATGTTAAGTAAGTGAAGTGAAACTGCTAAGCAAATCATGTGACAATTAATTCTAAGAATTAAAGTTTTGTAATTCATAATTTTTATTTAATTTTAATTTATTTTCAATAATTAATGAAAAAATTCCGATAAATTTTTTCTGAATTATGCTCAAACATTTTTTCAGTATTTTATTCGCACATTAAAAAAGCCCTGTTAATTTTCATTAAAAGCAATATTTTTAAAATATATTTTCCAACTAAAGTAACAAACTAGAATTTTCGAATGGATTTTCTTTGTTTGATGATAAATACAAAACCCCTACATGCAAGTCACCATGCCACTAGCGTTTACTGCTGTTGGACCGCTGGAGTGTTCAACTCAGCAATGTTACCACTTGCAGACCACTATTGGCCCATTGGTGGCTGCCACCAGAGGACTGCTGGTGTTGCTAGTGTCTTGTGTGTAGGGAAGCATCATTTCTCTGTCAGCAGTAAAATGTACTCCTGAAATTGCTGAGATGAACACATCAGCCGAACACCAGCGGTAAACACTACTCTACATGCAAGCTGCTAGTGGCCCGCTGATGTTAACACCAACAGTCCTCTGATGATAGCCACCAGTGGTCCTCTAGCGGTTCACCAGTTGTAACAATGCCAAGACGAACACACCAGCAGTCTGACAGGGAACCCACCAGTGGTAAATGCTAGTGGTATGTGGCCCACTGGTGGCTTGCATGTAGGGACACCAATCTGTCACTGGTTGACATGTCACAGGGGACTGCTGATGTTGCCATCGGTGGCCCACAAGGGGCTTGCATGTAGAGAGAGCGTTTACTGCTGGTTGCCTGCTATCAGACCACTGGCATGTTTGTCTTGGCAATGTTATCATTAGCAGACTGCTAGAGACCATGGGTGGCTGCTACCAGAGGACCGCTAATGTTGCCATCAGCAGGCCACTAGAGGCCTGCATGTAGGGGTAGGGCT